ACCTGACAGTGAGCCGGACGGAACCGCCGGACACGGGAGGATAGTGGAGGAACGGGCAACGACCGGGCCCCCGGAGGGGTCAGCCAGTCGGACCGGGACAGGTGCAGGGAGAGGAGTGAGAGTGGTGCTGTCACGAAAGAAACAGCGCGAGGCACCTGAGTCCAGCGTGAAGGTGTGCAAGGACTCAGCAGGCGCAGTACCTGGGAGAACAAACTCACTAGCACCTAGAGCAGCAACATCTATACCTGGGTCAGGCGGCACACACAGGTAACAGTCACCCTCAGCACTAGTAGACAAAGCATACATAGCAGAAAGAATAGCATCATAGTCTAGGTCAAAGATCGCAACACCAGACCTAAGCAGCTCTGCCCAATGGGGGCGCTCGACCTCGTCACCAAACTCAGCGCGCGAAGCGTCGTCGAGACGGGAGAAGCAGCGGTGCTGCGTGTGCGCCTTCCCGCATGTCTGACCAGCACGGTCACCCGTGCGAATGACATACGGGCAGCTCACACTACCCCCAGACGCCCCACGCTGAAACAACCACCCACGAAGCTGCTGGGGCGAAGGGGTCTCGCTCCGACGCTGCTGCCGTTGCCGCTGGCCTCCTGCAGAACCTCCACGCTGAGCTCCAGTCCTACAGCCACCACTGCCACCGCGGCCACTACCGCCACTCCCACCGCTGCCTCCACCGCCGCCACCAACGCCTCCACTCCCTCCACCACTCCCACCGCTGCAACCACCTCCACTGCCGCCACTGCCTCCACTGCTGCCCCCACCACCACTCCTTCTGCCCCCTCCACCACCCCTGCCACCCTTGCCCTTGCTGCTGCGGCGCTTCGCACTAGCAGATGCAGCCCCGAATTCCTGAGTACTAAGGACGTCTACAGCAACAGCAGAGGCGTAGGAGGGGGCAAGGGGGGAGGGGGAGCACCCCTCAAAGAAGGGTGTGCGCGGAGTGCCACGAGCAGCACCTACAGCTACTGCACTAGTCTCAGCTGCAAGAAGGTGCTGCTCGAGGAGGTCAACAGTGAGGGAGGTGGGGTCAAGGAAGAGGAAGTGGTCCCTGACAGAGCGTGATGTACATCGGGGGCGGGTTCCTGTCAAGGAACTATGCTGGGAGGGCATCGTGGTAGCGAGCGTCGCTAGCGCGAAGGTGGGAAACCAGGTCCTCGACTGTGGCAAAGGCGGACAGCTCGGGGAACAGGTAGGGCAGGAGGAGGTGGCCTAGAGCAGCAGTGGCAGGCGAGAAGTAGCGAGCGACTACAGCGTTCTACAGTGTCTGCGCTGTCTTGTGCTGTCCGAAGTGAGTGCATTTGGCCAACGGGATGTGATTGCGAATGGCTAAGCGGGCAGCAGCGTCGCGAGTCAGCCACTGTGAACGAGTCGCACTGTCAGCTGTGTCGGGAGGGGCGGGAGCGGCGCCAGACGTGTGGTCAAACAACAAAACACTGTCCCTACAGTCGCTTAGCATTTACAGTTGCAGGTCGTCGAGCCACGTGTCAAACAGCAGGGGGCGTCCCTCATGATCGAACGCTAACACGCGGAGAGAAGCCATAGTGGCGCAGCACGTAAGAGGAGCTGAGAGGGGCGGCAGTAGTAGCAGTAGTAGCAGCAGTAGCAGTAGCAACAGCAGTAGTAGCAGCAGTAGCAGCAGCAGCAGTAGCGGCAGTAGCACGCAAGAAGCGGCGTGCAGGGCCTGGGGTTGACGGGCCGAGGGGCAACGGGCCCGGAGGCCTAAGGGGGGACGAGCCGCGGGGCCGAGAGCGAGGGGCCGGAGCACGCGGGCTAGGGTCGACGGGCCGGGCTAGGGGCGCGCAGACTAGGGGCGACGGAGCCGAGGCGCGGGGGCTAGGGTCGACGGGGCCAGGGCGCGCGGGCTAGGGGTCGACGGGTCCGGGCGCGCGGGCTAGGGGTCGACGGGCCGGGGTGCGCGGGCTAGGGGTCGATGGGGCCAGATCCGTGGGCTGCGGGTCGACGGGGTCGGGCGCGGGGGCTAGGGGTCGACGGGGCCGGGGCGCGCGGGCTAGGGGTCGACGGGGCCGGGGCGCTAGGGCTAGGGTCGACGGGGCCAGGCGCGAGGGCTAGGGGCGACGGGGCCGGGCGCGTGGGCTAGGGTCGACAAGGCCAGGGCACGGGGGCTAGGGTCGACGGGGCTGGGGCGTGCGGGCTAGGGGTCGACAGGGCCGGGCGCGCGGGCTAGAGGTCGACGGGGCTGGGCGCACTGGCTAGGGGTCGACGGGGCCGGGCGCTCGGGCTAGGGGTCGATGGGCCGGGGCGCGGGGGCTAGGGGTCGACGGGGCCGGGCGCGCGGGCTAGGGGTCGACGGGGTCGGGCGCGCGTGCTAGGGGTCGACGGGGCCGGGCACGCGGGCTAGGGGTCGACGGGGCCGGGCGCGAGGGCTAGAGGTCGACGGGCCGGGCGCGCAGGCTAGGGGCAAGGGGCCGGGACGATGGGCCTATGAGGCACTCTGGCTAGGGCCTACGGGCCGTGCTAGGAGTGACGGGCCTAGGGGCGACGGGCCAAGGGGCGACAAGACGGTCGCTAGGAGCAGTGCAGTGGTGGGCCCAAGGAAAAAAAACGGTCCTAGCGAAGGACCTGCTCTGAAACCATGTCAAGAGAATGAACGAGAATGAATGAACTACGAAGAGTTGGGTACAAGTACTAACCCTAATTGGGTTGTACCCCTTATGGGCTACCCCACTATAGCCTACTCAATATAAGCTATACAACATTTTGACATTTTTACCACTATTTCTTCTCCCTACTAGATCCTATTACCTAGCCTTAGGAACTGGGTTGAGCTAGTTCGCACAACTACGCAGCTCGTGGCGCATGTTTGTGCGTTTGATGGTGAATTTGTGCGAGGATAGGCCTGTTTGCAACATGTCAACACGCCAATGTCTGGATGCCTTTTTTACCTCGATTTCGTCACACTGTTCCCTACTACGTCCTATTACCTAGCCTTAGGAACTGGGTTGAGCTAGTTCGCACAACTACGCAGCTCGTGGCGCATGTTTGTGCGTTTGATGGTGAATCTGTGCGAGGATAGGCCTGTTCGCAACATGTCAGCACGCCAATGTCTGGATGCCTTTTTTACCTCGATTTTGTCACATAGTTCCCTACTACGTCCTACTACCTAGCCTTAGGAACTAGGTTGAGCTAGTTCGCCCAACTACGCAGCTCGTGGTGCATGTTTGCGCGTTTGATGGTGAATCTGTGCGAGGATAGGCCTGTTCCCAACATGTCAGCACGCCAACGTCCGGATGCCCTTTTTACCGCTAATTCTTCAAACTGTTAGGTAGTACATACTATTCCCTTGCCATAGCATAACTACGCAGCTCATTTGCACTATTACGCAGCTCGTGACGCTTGTTTCTCCGTTCGATGGCCTGGAAGTGGGCAAGGATAGGCCTGTGCGTCATGTTGTGAGAAATCAACGTCCGTTTATTGTTTTAAAGACGGTTTCTTTGGATTATTCAAGCATTTACTATATTCTAAGCGTGCTGTTCAAGTTTGGTGTCATTCGCAAAATCTAATAGGGAGGGCACAACATTCTTAAGTGCTAAAAATGATCCTTCGTGGTTTAAAAAATAAACTACAGACGTAGGTGATTTTATCGCAACTTGGTAACCCGACATGGTTGGTGGTGTTTGCACAACGGGCCACTCATCAGAGCATTATCTTTGTTCCCTGCGTAAACACGTAACATAGTTTTTGACCTAATAAATAAAATATCAAATTCATATAAATGTTTTGCTTTTTCATTAAGTTTGAAGTACAAACGTGTATGAGGGGGTGGTTGACAATTGGCACAGTCCGTTGAATGGTCTCGTCTGCCTACATCTAGCAAACACACCACAACACACGACTCAATGGCCAATCGTAGCCGGTAGCGGCATGCCAGCACATCAGAACGTCGTCAGGTTCGTTAACCTGACGCGCATGTGGAAGCGGCTCAGGTTATTAGATGCTCAGGTGGGTGACGCGTGCCTGTAAAAAGGGTGGCAAAGTGACGTAGATGCAACCTTCACCCTTTCTGTGCCCTCGGTTTCAGGGCTAGCAGTCGTGCTGTCATCGCGAAGATATAATATCGACGGTCTAGATTTCTCGCTGCACACGAAAATGCAGTCGTGAATCATTCGACGATCACGATTATTGGAGCTGCCAGCATTCACAATCTGGATGCAATGTGCTGGCGTGATATCGCGAGAATCCGCCAATGAGAGACAACCTTAGCAGTATCGTCCTTTTTTTTCCGCTGGCATCGCCCCCCAGGCGGTCAAATCCCGGCTGGGTATTTTTCGTGCCGTTTCCGAACTCGCCCTCCGCCCGAAACCATAATATTTGACCTGTGAAGGGAAGTAATTCGTAATTTATCGTAGATCGCAATGGGAGAGACCGAGGACCCAAATTATCGGGCAGGCAACGGGCTGACCAGACGGGTACAGGGACCTGGTGAGGAGATGGGAGGGGTCACGCTAGAATCGCCATTTTCACAAGCTTTGACAGAAGCTCAAGCAGATGAGCTCGTCAACAGCCAACGCGCTCTCTACGAGCAAGCTCTCAAGCGCCGTGACTGCTTAGCTAGCGCCGCCAAGAAGAAGTGTATTCACGCACTCTTAGGTGTGCCAGCTCCTAAGAAGGGTGGCTGCCCCGCAAAGTCCGCTAGGAAGAAGGGCAAGAAGCCGGGCAAAAAGGGTGGACTACACCCCGAACGGACTACTTACCTGCAACCGAAACTACCCAGCAGCCGCTTGAACCAGAGTCGCACGGTGCTCAACCAACGGGCGCGAGTTTCCTACAGCAACTTCACACCAACTCTAACTCCCTCCCGAACTCATCTCCTGTCGCAAGTACCCGGAAGGCCCCTGTTGCTGTCCAGCAGGCCCCTGTTGCTACCTTGCAACAGAACCTCGCCTGTGCTGCACGTCCCCAGCAGCACAACGTTGACTCTGTCGCTGACACAACCACTGGCGAGCTGGCTGCCGATGTGTTACCGGATGTCAACGGATGTCAACGGCGTCGCCTTCGACGAGGATGAAGACGAGGAGCAGGACGACGAGCAGTTAGAAGATCGAGACGATGCGCTGGATGAGGACGAGGCTGAGGAGTCGGAAGGCAAAGATGGCGGTTCTGGAGAAGCTGGTGGTGAGAACCATCAAGTTGCTCAGCAGCACCACCATGAAGCTGCTGAACAGCAGCAACAGGCGCTTGCCGAGCCGAATCCTCCTGCCGACCGCGGAACTCGCACTGAAGGTGATTGTTTTCTAGTTTGGTTGTTGGTAACATACATATGAGCGCATTTCGTTTGAATGTTAATGATAATTCTTTGTATGCTTGTGATTCGTGATATCTTAAGTGCTAAATATGATCCTTCTCTCTTTTCAGGTATGGGGGCGTACAGGTACCGTGAGAATCGAGCTCTGCAGGCGCGGGTTGAGGATTTTCATAGGACGATCGATATCCTTTAGTCCTCTCTTGCAGAAGCCCAGCAGAAGCTAGCCGTTGTCGAGGCCGAGCGTGACACGTTTCGTAACAGCATCTCCGACCTCGAGTCGCAACTGGCTGTTGGGCTGCTGGAGAAGTCTCCGGACAACCCTGAGATCAACATGTCGCTCCTGTCCCGGGACAACCTTGGCAACGTCATCCCGAAGACAAGTCTCTTTCCTAAGGAGTTCGTGGTGAGTTTCTGTTACGCTTAAAAGCAGGCCATGCTCCTGACAATGTCCTTATGTTCGAGAATGTATGTTCCCTGACGATGTCGCGGTGAGTTTCCTGACGCTTAAAAGTCTGTATCCTACACCTTTGTCTTTCATCCCGCCTTCACACAAAGGCGCTGGAGACCTACACGTGGCTGATATCACTGGCGCCAATGGATGTCATGGAGTTCTTCCCAACATGGGAAGTGTTTCAACCCCATCTCGTAATGAAGTACTGTCAATCGGGACTCGTCCAAGACGAGTACTACTACGCGGTTGGTGGCAGGGTCGAATTTGAAAAGCTGGCGCTGAAGGTGATTAAGACGAAACGCTCGAACAGCCACAAGAAGATACGGTTTTATGCATGGGGTGTGGGTGGGATGGTTGACGAGAGTAGGTGGCCGTTGCTCGCGGGGGAGATGATAATTCCTTCGAAGAAACGTGACGAGACCAAGTGGTTGGAAGACTTCCGGCATGGTGAGTGTAGCAGTTTTCCCTGTTAACGATCCCTGCTAACGTGCTTGCCGTTTTCCTTGCTAACCATCCCTGCTAATGTGCTTGCCGTTTTCCCTGCTAACGTGCTTTCCCTGCTATCAATCTGTGTGTAGTGATCTGATCCCTGGCTAACGTGCTTACCGTTTTCCTTGCAGTTACACTCGGGCTCGCCTGGCACGTCAACGCTGAAGGGATTCCCTTTGCCAACATCGCTTTTGAGAAGGCGGCTCTTGCTGGTTTCACTTGTGTAACCTCGAATTTGGTCTACCTGAAGATACCATAGGTTACATATTTGTGTGTCGTGATAAGTTTCTGTTCTGTGGTTGTTATCTTTGCATTCATTTGTCAAATCGTCTAATGGCTGCTTGTGTTGTATATGTGCAGGTTGAAGCCCCCATCCAAAGCTTCCGAGTGTGGGGGAGGGGCCAACCTTCTCTGGGCGGCGTCTCGTCCACCAACAGCAACTACGTCCGTGCCAAAACAAACGTGGTCGTGACGGCTCTGCTTGAGGCGATGCTGAACAACCCTGCATGCTTCAAGCACGATGAACTGAAGGGTTTGGTGCTGGGTTCTGGGAAAGTGATGATTCTGGTTGAAGGATGGGAGCGTGTGTTCTGCCCTGGTCTTCTGTAGGTGTAGTGTCTAATTGTAGCCATCGTTTTGTACTGATAGCTAATTCATGAAAATACGGTTTACAATAAATTTTAATATATATGAGGAGATACAAACATTTGGTTTATATCGACTGGTAAACAACATTTGTCTGTTACAAGCGTATGGTAACTAGGTAGCCATATTCATTTCTGACTGGTGTTACAATTCAAGTTACAAAGTTACAAAATTTGTATGAGTTATTTATTATACGGGTTTAATAATTACCGAATACACTACATGTAACAAAGTCGTAACTGTTACGCACTGGTAACATACCCTGTTCTTTAAATTTCGCCCTCGACTGTTAACGTGATGGCTAATCGCGAGCAACACTGGTTTATGAGCCGCATGTTGCTGTAAACAACCCTGGGTATCAACCCTGAAAAACCCTACCCCAAGTTTACGTCTCGATACTTACCCTGTCGGAAATGGGAACCCTAAACAACAATGTCGCAATGAATTGCAATGGCCATCCGATCACTGTAGCAGAACAATCGCGGGTAAACGTCGACATCAACCCCCATCCGTTTTCTACCCACAAATCGCAATACCCCTAGTCGTTTATGACCGTGTGTAGAAATCACAATTTGCACGTCATACACGACAGACACGAGGCCGTTTACCACCCAAAACGGCCTCCACATCTTTCTGATGAAAGCGTTAACGCCGGAATGAGGGCGCTACAGACGAGATGGTTCCCTGAGGAGGGTGTCAATCTCACAACCAAGGCTGGTAAGCGCACATTAAGAATGGCGAGGGGTGCGTGGACTATTATTGCCCATAGTTTCTAACATCTTATTTTATTTGGCAGGAAATCTGAAGAAGCCGCTTCTGGAAGTCGTGCTCAAGTGAGTCTCTCGCGCGTGGGCCACTGTGCTGGCCGACCTCATCCGCAAAGCATTTAAAACCAGTGGCATCTCTAATGCCACTCATGGTCGAGGTCCTCGAGGAGCTTGTGTCCGAGGACACGCCCGTCCCGGCCGCCGCCCCCTCTGTGCCCGCCGACGAGTTGCCTGATCAACAGGCTTGCTCGGCGGACTTCTCGGGCCACGACTCCGAGGAGGAGACTGACGACGAGGAAGTAGAGCAAGAGGTGGGCGACGCAGAAGAGGAGGTTGGATGGGAGGACGAGGGCATTCCCTTAGATTCTGAAGACTCTTAGGTGCTAGCGCTAGATTCAGTTGGATTCCCTGTGTGTAGGCACCTTGCTCGAATAACAAGGGTAAAAATTGGGTACTTCAAGGTGAAACATGGGCATCAATGGGGGGGTATATGTCAAATGCATATAATTGTTATAGGTTGTAGTGAGGTACTCCCTAGAGAGTACAACTTAGTTAGGGTTGCTATTTGTGTTGCTTCTCAACCCTAATGCAAACATTCCGTTGCTTCTACTTCTGAGATGGTATCATGAGTAGGTACGCTCCTAACCTAGCCTAGCCTAAGGACGCTCCGTCGCTCCGTAGTCGCTCCGTAGTCGCTCCGTCGCTCCGTAGTCCCTCCATCGCACCGTAGTAACCTCCCTTAAGTAGCGCGCGCCATCCAGCCAAGTGGCGCGCCCGACCTTGCAGAGTAACGCGCGCCACCCAGCAGACCAGCGCGCGCCCAAGCAGAGTAGCGCCCGCCACCCAGCAGAGTAGCACGCGCCCCTAAAGACCATCGCGCGCCCCTGCAGAATAGCGCGCGCCACCCAGCAGAGCAGCGCGCAGCCCAGCAGAGTAGCGCCCGCCACCCAGCAGAGTAGAGCGCGCCCCTGGAGACCAGCGCCCGCCACCCAGCAGAGTAGCGCGCGCCACCCTGCAGAGCAGCGCGCGCCCCAGCTGAGTAGCGCCCGCCACCCAGCAGAGTAGCGCGCGCCCCTGGAGACCAGCGCCCGCCACCCAGGAGAGTAGCGCGCGCCACCCTGCAGAGCAGTGCGCGCCCCAGCTGAGTAGCGCCCGCCACCTAGCAGAGCAGCGCGCGCCCCAAGAGACCAGCGCCCGCCACCCAGCAGAGTAGCGCGCGCCCCTGCAGACCAACGCGCGCCACCCTGCAGAGCAACGCGCGCCCCTGCAGGGCAGCTCACGCCCTAGCAGAGCAGCACACACCACCCAGGCATAGTGGCGCGCTCCCCTGCCCAGGAACGTGTCAAAACATTATAGCTTATACATTTGTGTAGGCTGTAGTGGAGTAGCCCATAAGGGGTACAACCCAATTAGGGTTAGTACTTGTACCCAAATGTTTCATAGTTCAATCATTCTAGTTCGTTATTCTGAGATGGTATCAGAGCAGGTTCCTTGGGCCCACCACCTGCTACGCTGCTAGTACCCCCCCCCTCCAGGCCCGTCGCCCCTAGGCCCGTCGACCCTAGCCTACGCGCCCGGCCCTTCGATCCTAACCTACGCGCGCCCGGCCCGTCGCTCCTAGCCTACGCGGCCCGTCGACCCCTAGCCCACGGCCCGTCGACCCCTCGCTCCCGGCCCCGTCCCTAGCCCGTGCCCGGCCCCGTCCCTACCCCTCGCCCGGCCCCGTACCTAGCCCCGCGCCCGGCCCCGTACCTAGCCCGCGGCCCGTCGACCCCCGCGGCCGGCCCCGTCCCTAGCCCGCGCCCGGCCTCGTCCCTAGCCCATGCCTGGCCCCGTACCTAGCCCCGCGCCCGGCCTCGTCGGCCCTTAGCCCCGCGCCCGGCCTCGTCCCTAGCCCAGCGCCCGACCCCGTACCTAGCCCGCGCCCGGCCCTGTACCTAGCTCCGCGCCAAGCGCCCGGCCCCATACCTGCCCAGCGCCTGGCCCCGTCCCTAGCCCAACGTCCGGCACTGTACCTAGCCCGCGCCTGGCCCCGTACCTAGCCCATGCCCAGCCCCGTCCCTAGCCCGCGCCCGGCCCCGTACCTGCCCAGTGCCCGGCCCCGTACCTGCCCAGCGCCCGGCCCCATACCTGCCCTGCGCCCGGCCCCGTACCTGCCCAGCGCCCGGCCCCGTACCTGCCCAGCGCCCGGCCCCGTCCCTAGCCTAGCGCCTGGCCCCGTACCTAGCCCGCGCCCGACCCCGTACCTAGCCCGCGCCCGGCCCCGTCCCTAGCCCGCGCCCGGCCCCGTACCTAGCCCCGCACCCGGCCCCGTCCCTAGCCCAGCGCCCGGCCCCGTACCTAGCCCACGCCTGGCCCCGTACCTAGCCCGCGCCCGGCCCCGTACCTAGCCCGCGCCCGGCCCCGTCAGCCCCTTGCCCCACTGTCACTGCTGCTACTGCTATAGCTGCTACTGCTGCTGCTACTGCTATCCTGCGTGCTGCACAGCTATGGCTTCGCTTCGGGTTCTCGCGTTTGATCATGAGGGCAGACCGGTTCAGTTTGACACATGGCTAGACGACCTGCAGCTGTACCTACTGAGCGATTCTAAGGAGAGTGTCTCACTGTTTGACCTGGTGTCAGGCGCTGCTACTGCCCCTCCCGCCACACCTGACAGTTCAACTCGCTCACAGTGGCTTACTCGTGACGCTGCTGCCCGCTTAGTCATTCGCAACCACCTGCCATTAACTGAATGCGCTCACTTCGGACAGCACAGGACAGCGCAGGCACTGTACGACGCTGTAGTCGCTCGCTACTCCTTCCCTGCCACTGCTGCTCTAGGCCGCCTTCTTCTGCCCTACTTGTTCCCCGAGCTGTCCGCCTTAACCACAGTCGATGACCTTACTTCCCACCTTTGCGCTAGTGACGCTCGCTACCTCGCTGCCGTTCCTGCTGAGTTCCTTGACAGGAACCCGCCCCCGATGTACATCACTCTCTACTTTATAGTCACCCGCCTCCCTGACTCTCTTCGCTCTGTCAGGGACCACTTTCTCTCTCTTGACCCCACCTCCCTCACTATTGACCTCCTCGAGCAGCATCTCCTCGCAGCTGAGACTAGTGCGGTTGCTGTAGGTGCTGCTCGTGGCACTCTGCGTCCGCCCTTCTTTGAGGGGTGTTCCCCCCCCCCCCTTGCCCCCTCCTACGCCTCTGCTGCTGCTGCAGACGTCTCTGTTCCTGAGGATGTCGGAGCTGCTTCTGCTAGTGCGAAGCGCCGCAGCAGCAAGGGAAAGGGTGGCCGGGGTGGTGGAGGTGGCAGCGGCGGTGGTGGAGGTGGCAGCGGGAGTGGTGGTGGGGGCAGCAGTGGAGGTGGTGGCGGCGGTGTAACTGTTGGTGGGAGTGGGGGCTCTGGTGGCGGTGGTGGAGGCAGCGGTGGGAGTGGCGGAAGTGGAGGCGGTGGGACTGGTAGCGGTGGGACTGGCGCTCGGCGTGTCGGTTCTGGGGGTGGCCAGCGTTAGCAGCAGCACCGTCGGAGCGAGACCCCGTCTCCCCAGCAGCTTCGTGAGTGGTTTCTGCGTGGGGCGTCTGGGGGTAGTTGCCCGTATGTCATTAGCACGGGTGACCGTGCTGGTCAGACTTGCGGGCGACTCCACACTCAGCACCACTGCTTCTCCCGCCTCGACGACGCTAGGCGTGCTGAGTTTGGTGACGACGTCGAGCTCCCTCGCTGGGCAGATCTGCTTAAGTCTAGGATTGCTATTTTTGACCTAGACTTTGATGCTATTCTTTCTGCTATGTATGCTTTGTCTGTTAGTGCTGAGGGTGACTATTACCGGTGTGTGCCGCCTGACCCAGGTATAGCCGCCGCTGCTCTAGGTGCTAGTGAGTCTGGTACTCTCCCTTGTACTGCGCCTGCTGAGGCCTTGCACACTTTCACGTTGGACTCCGGCGCCTCGCGCTGTTTCTTTCGTGACAGCACCACCCTCACTCCTCTTCCTGCACCTGTCCTGGTCAGACTGGCTGACCCCTCCGGGGGACCGCTCGTGGCCCGTTCCTCCACTGTCCTCCCGTGACAGACAGTTCCGTCCGGCTCACTGTCAGGTCTTCACCTCCCCTCGTTCTCTACGAACTTGGTGAGTAACGCTGCCCTCCAGGATGCGATGGTCACTACCACCACTCCTGGGGGTCAGAGTGTGTCGATCTGCACGTGCACACGGACGGGGCGTCACCTGGCCACGTTCACTCGTCGGCCAGGGTCGAGTCTGTACACACTCACTACCGAGCCTTCTCAGGTAGCTGCGTCTGCTCAGGTGTCCGCGTCAGGTCAGGTAGCCGCCTCTTGCTCGTGTCGCCTCCTGTCGCACCAGGCTCTTCTGTGGCACCACCGTCTGGGTCAACCCTCCCTGCCTCGCCTTCGTGGCATGCACTCTCATCTTCTTGTCTCTGGCTCCCCTGCCGCCCTCGCCTGCCCCGCCCTACCTCCCTTGCGTCGAGGGGCGGCATCGCGCCGCTCCTCACTCCTCGTTTCCCCCGACGACTGCTCCTCCGCAGACTCTCCACATGGACGTGTGGGGCCCAGCCTGCGTCAGTGGATAGAGCCGCGAGCGCTACTTTCTGCTGGTAGTTGACGACTACACGCGGTACACCACGGTCTTCCCCTTGTGCAGCAAGGGTGAGGTCGTTGATGTCTTGATCCCTTGGATCCGCATTGTCCGCCTCCAGCTCCGCGAGCGGTTCGGCCAGGACCTTGCTGTCCTGCGTCTGCACTCTGACAGAGGTGGTGAGTTCTCCTCCAACCTCTTTTGGGACTTTTGTCGTGGGGAGGGCATTCTCCAGTCGTTCACGCTTCCGGACTCCCCTCAGCAAAATGGGATTGCTGAGCGCCGCATTGACTTAGTCATGGAGGTCGCTCGGACCTCCATGATCCATGCGGCCGCTCCCAATTTTCTGTGGCCGTTTGCGGTCCGGTACGCTGCGCATCAGCTCAACGTCTGGCCCCGTGTCTCCTTGCCGGAGACCTCGCCCACACTACGTTGGACGGGGAAGGTTGGCGATGCGTCGGTGTTCCGGGTCTGGGGATCTCGTGCCTTTGTTCACGATACGTCAGCGGACAAGCTCTCCCCACGTGCTATCCCCTGTGTCTTCCTTGGCTTTGTCCCCGACGCGCCTGGCTGGCAGTTTTACCACCCCACCTCGCGCCGTGTCTTCCTTTCTCAAGACGTCACGTTTGACGAGTCGGTTCCCTTTTACCGCCTCTTCCCCTTCCGCTCTGCCCCTCCCCCGCCCCCGCCGCTCTTCCTTGCTCCCAGTCCCCCTCCGGTAGACCCCCTCCCACCCCAGGGTCCTGCTCCCTCAGGTGTGTCTCAGGTAGACCCTCTCCTTGGTCCTGCGCCTGTTAAGGTAGCTGTCGACTCAGGTGCTGCTCAAGGTGCTGCGTCTGGGGAAGCGGAGCCTGGGGGTGCGGAGTCTCAGGGTGCTGAGACTGGGGTTGCTGAGCCTGGGGGTGCTGAGCCTGGGGGTGTTGCGACTGGGGGTGGTGAGCCTAGGGGTGCTGAGCTTGAGGGTGTTGAGCCTGGGGGTGCTGCTTCGGAGGGTGCGGAGTGTGGAGGTGCGGAGCCTCAGGGTGCTGCTTCGTCTGGAGTTTTTGCTGCAGCTTCGCCGAGACTGTCTCCGCAGCAGTTGCGTGAGTGGTTTGTTCGGCGTACGCGCCTTCGGAGTGGAGCTTCTGGAGACGGAGGTGTTGGCGCTGCTGGAGCTGGAGGTCCTGGAGTTGCTGCTGGAGCTGGTGTTGTTGGAGGTACTGCGACGATTGGTCCTGGAAGTGCTCGTACCCGGGGTACTGGAGCTGCCGGGACTGGTGGTGTTGAGGGCGCTGGAGCTGGAGACCCTATGGAGCCTGGAGCTGCTGGAGCTGGAGGCGCTGGAGCTGCAGGGGTTGGAGCCGTTGACCCTGGAGCTGGAGGTCCTGGAGCCACTGTGCGGCCGCGACCGTACTTCGTTCCCCTGCTTCAGCAGGTTCTTGGTGTCCCGTCTGCTACTGGCCTTACTCCTCCCCTCCTGTGTGCACCGCCTGACCAGTCTTCGCTGCCGTTGGAGCCGGCCTCTCCACTGCCTGCTCCCTCTCCTTACACTGAGCAGTCCGGCGGTCTTACAGAGCGTCGTGAGCCTGCGTCTCGTCCTGTCTTGCCTGTTCGCACTGCTCGTCACGTTCCTCGTTCGCGTCCTCCGCTTGTCCCTGGCACGCACGCTATGACCCTTCGCCCTTCCTCTGATCCTCTACGTGTTCCTCTGCCAGCTCCTCCTGAGTCCTCTCTTCCTGTCGTTCCTGACCCTGAAT